TTTCCAAACCCAGATTCTTCCTGTCCACATCAGCAATGTTAAAGTAACTATAAAAGATTTTAAATCACACTTGAACTCATTCTCCAATAAAATTTAAAATACGTTGCAAAATGATGTCCCACTGAGGTAACTTCTTTCCCCCAAAAGAAAGCCACCTCTTACCTTTCTACTTACCTTAAAAATCAACCTGTTCACAAACTAGAATGTTTTCATTTTCTCCTTTTAGTTTTTAAGTGAATCCTGCATTTAGGTGTGACTGAGTTAATATTCATTGCACTTTACTAGAAAAAAGACAAATTTGCAAAAATAGGAGTAAGGGCTGAATATAATGGAAACGGAGTTATAAAGCCAGTTACACATGGGTTTACTTACAAACTATTGTTTGTATTCCCTAGTAGGAATGAAACTATGCAGAGACAAAATGAAATGATTAGATATAAAAGGCACAGACCTGCCACTGTATATAGACAAGGAGTCCCCAAAATCATAGCAACTTTGGTTGCTAATGCCAACCCTAGAACTCAGTATTCGCTTGCTCTTTCATTGCAAGCATAGTTTTACATCAGCCTGTGTTTTACATCATACTTACCATCGCCCATCCTCAAGATACTTTGTTTGTTATGTTTCCACTGCACTTTAATAAATGAGAAGTAAACTCTGAAACAGCACTGGCTACTAAGGCCAGTAGAAAACTGTTGTTCATTGGTATCCAAACGGGACTACCACAGACTCGGTACATTTCTGGAGCTCTATTATTTGACTGAAGTTTTAAGATGGGTTTTATGGCTGGGTGTGTATATCCATTACATAGACTACTAGTTTAAACAAGCTATGTTAAAGAGCTTAAAGTTCAGAACTACCAATACCTTTCTTCAGCCTAGAAGTGCAGCTTAAAAAGGTGAAAAGCTTGCACATAGTGATTGCTTTAAGCAGGCTGAACACTGCAAGAAAACCAATTCTAACACTGACTTTTGCTTGTGTTACATGTAATAGATGATTTACACAATGAAGTTTGGCCTTCCATCACATTGTTTTTTTCCTAATAGATAAGTATGACAGTAATTCTTCCTTATACCGCTGCTGTATTTCTATTGGTAGGTTCCCATTGATGCTTACAAAAATGGCAAATGGTCTCATTTAGCTAATTAATAATGTCATTAGCTAAACTAGTTCTCGAGGACAGAGCTGACTACATGGAAAGTCCATCAACTTGAGCAGTGTTTGCCTTGACAAGGGGGATGGAGATAAGCTGGAGTAAAGGTCACAACTTGCTCTCCTCGGTGTTTGTTTCTAAGCAACCCAGTCAGTTTGTCTGCAGTTACAGTACACAAGGTTGAGTTTGTTTTGCTTTCCTGCCTCTGGAAGTAAGGCACTGAAGGTGACGGCCCCTCTGGAAATGAGCTGCTGTGCTCCGCATCAGGTGGCTGAAGAAGCTCCTGCTCCATGGGCAGGAGGCTTGGAAGCAGACCCACAGGGGAAGCCAGTAGAAACAGAGCTGTTTGGAGTCAGAGACTTCAAACTAGCTCTTCCTCAGAGTAAAAAACATAATCGTAATTAAAAAAATCCGAACAACAGTCCAAGTTTGTGTGTCTGCATGCGTGAGAAAGCATGAGCATCTTGAGACTGACAAGAATGGACCAACGCTTGTTCTTGTGCAGTGGTCACGCCGAAGCAAGACAGTCCATCCAACTTAGTGCAAGTTAACAGGTTCAGGAACAGCTGAACGGCCCACTTGGGAATGTGTGAATAATAGAATAGTATTCACAGTCAGTAGCCAGTACAAATTAGATAGCAGAAGATACCAAACACTGATGCAGGGAGCTTGCAGAGATGACATATGCTAGCAGCAAAACAGGACTCTGATGACTGTGAGCGATCCGCTGGAGATTTACACAGAATTGGCTTTGTGGTTTTCTGCCTTTTCCGTACTGGTTATAAAGGCTTTTTCAAACAGATGAGAAGCAGGAAGCCTGATGCTGCTAAGGGACAGGAGTGCTCGGGGTGCACTCTCCAGGTGCAGGAGTGCTCGCAGAATATAAAGCCATACCAGAGAAACCAGACAGGCTTTGCAAGGCTTCTCAGACAAGGAGTTCAGGCAATCGCGTTACTGGGACCATTCTTCATAGGCAATGTCAGAGCATCTGTCTCATATCGGTGAGTCAGTAAAGAGGTTACAGAATAATATGCTCAAGTGAGCAGTAACACATTCCCAGGACCAGACAATATTTGTGCAAAATTTTCAGATGTGTCCAAGGATAAAATAGGTAGTTTTCTAATTGTGATGTGCAATTTCTCTCATGAAACGTGATACTAGAGAATTGGAGGTAGCTAATTTGATGCCAGCTTCTGGAGTTTCAGGTGAGAGCTAGGGAACACACTGACCAAGAAACCTGCTGTCTTTACTGGCCAAACTGGCAAGAATTGTAATGCAGACCCAAGAGATGAACACATTGGGAAGGAATCAATGACATTTCTGTAAACAGAAGTAATTCTTCATAAATTTGTTAGTGCTTTGAAGTATTCAACAACCCTGAGGACATGGGAAATCCAGCTGATATAGTTTACTTTGACTTCAGAAGAGATTTCACCACATGCCTGTCAAAGGCTCTTATAGGATATAATCTGAGGAGATAAACAGGAAGGTCCTTGCATGGATAAACAGTTAAAAGATAGAATGAAGAAGGCTAGGCTGAAGTAGTTGGGTTTTACAGTGGAAAAGATTATTAATGCTTAGTTTATGCAGTTCAATATATTTCTAAATGATGTGGAAAAAGGAGAATAGTTGGCTGACCACGTTTGGTGATGCTACTAAGGGTAGTAAAGACCAAGACTGACTGAAGAATTGCAGAAGGACCCCATGCTACTGAGTGACAGGGTAAAAAACCAGCAGATAAAATTCAATAGTGATAGATGTAAAATAAGGCACAAGGAGAAAACCCAGTCCTAACAACATTTACAGTGATGGGCTCTGAGCTTATTATTACCATTCACAAATGATATTTTTGTATTATACCAAAGAAAATTTGGCACAATGCTAAGCAGCAGTCCAAAAAAGTATACTGAATGCTCAGAATTATTTAAGAAAGAAACAAAAGGGAGCGCATTATTCCACTGTATGCACCTGTGGTGTCCCAGCATCTCAACTAGTATTTGAAGTTTTACTGTGCCCATTTCATAAAGGTTGTAGTGAAATTAGAAAATATGCAAAGACAATAACAAGGATAATTGAAAGTACGGACCATTATATGTGGAATGATTAAATAGCTTAGGACAGTCTTGGCTGGAAAAGAGGTGGCTGAGGATAGAATATGACATATCTATAAAACTACAGTGGCAAGGAGATGGTGAATAGGTATGGAATCCAGTACGATAATTAGAAGGCAGAAGCAGCAGGAGAAAACAAACAAAAGAAGGCATTTCTTCTTACAGGGCATAGTTAAACTGCCAAATTTAATGCAGGATGTTGTGGAAGGTACGATTTTATGAGAGTTGGAAAAGTGACTGGGAGAAGTAACGGGAGAGAAAAATCTACCGAAGGCTACTAAATATAAAGACATAACCCCAGTTCAGTGGAGTCTTGACAGGACTCAGGGGAAGCACCACTACACAGTCGTCCTCACCTTATACTTTTTCCCAGCACCCCTCGCAGCCAGGTGGAGGAAGGTATTGGACTCAATCATCTGACCTACCACTTCTGTTCCTGTGCGGTGAGGAAGAGGACAGGAACGCCTACTCAAGCTGGTCACAAACAAACCTTACTGTTGAAATGCAATTAGGACTAAAATCCTCTATTAGAAAGAGCGCAGGCTGTGCCGATACAGCATCCTAGCAAGGGCCAGGGGAGTACTGCGTGGGTTGCGGTAGGTAACTGTCCTGCATGCAGGGCTGGTTTTCTTCTGTCATACCAATGGCTATTGAAATCCATGGATACAATAGTAGGAGGGAGACAGTTTTTTAATTGCGTACCTTGTGCAACCATTCTTAGAATACCACGTGCACAATTTAAAAAAGGACGTTGATTAAACCGGAAGGTTTAATTGCACATATGGAGCACTGCGAAGCAGTTTTGTATGTGGTATGTTTTGCAACCCTGTTTCTTAGATGTTGTGGGGAACAGGATGAAGTGTCCCAACTTGCTCTGGTGTTGACGCACAGGCCACCACTGACATAGACGTCAGATTGTCACAGCTGCATCAGCGACAATACGCATGGGAAAAGCCAGTGTAAATGCAGCCCGAGAGTGGTAACTGTACTAACAGTGCATCTGTATGTTGTCTCAGCTTGTTTCACTGGACAAGTTCACTGCATCCTCTGATAGAAACTAAACAGCCCCAGGCTACTGCCACAGATGTACTGCTTTGGATAGCCACTCCTCTCCTTAGTAATTACTGGGCTTGGAATTACAGCAGGGACAATAATAATAATTTTGAGGAAGATTGTTAACTATCTTCAAGTTAGTTAAATAACTAACTCTATTTCAGAATAACTCTTTGAAAACACTAACAGTCAAACTGCTCAAAAAATGCTTTCCATTAAGAGTTTTCTTAGTTCAGCTGGTCTCCTTGGGGGTAAATACTTCAGTTGCATAAATGTGAAAGTTGTCCTGCTTTTAGGACCTATATGAGTAAGAAGAAAATACTATTTCTCTTGGTAATACAGAGCTAATATTGCTAAACACCGAGTCATCATTAGAACTGCCTACTAAATTCCAATAAACCACAACTAGGCAAACCAGACACAGGCGTAGGACTTTCATGAATATCCTCAAATATGTAATTTGAGCTTGGGAGACTTGGCTGATAGCTATAGTATTATACGAAAACAGATCTTAATATAACTATTAGAATATGAGGGTGAGTTCGCAGAGCTGGTACTGAAATGACACTAGAGGTACTTTCTGCTGAGCTTGACTACACTTTGACTACATTCAAATCCCAAAAGCCACATCAGATAAAAAGGCTAGCTGATTTGTTACAATTCTGCCCTTCATTTCTTGGTAGGAAAAACCCGTTCATCTTGAAGGCAGTGCAATGGATGTACACATTAAATGGCTTAAGGAAGAATATATGAAAACTCAGAGGAACTGGAAAGAAGTGGATAACAGAATGAATGTGACAATAGAAATACGGAGGAAGATGATCAGCAATAAGGCACCTTTAAAAGACATTCTTAGATTATTTCCTTTCTTAAGATGCCCTTATCAGGTAACAGAGCTGTTTTTAATAATGACATTGAATTCTATGTTACAGATGTGATACAATTGTAGGCATGTATTTTAGTGGATGTTTCCGGTGAAGCATCCATCAACATTGTTCTCTTTAATCTAACTCATATTTTTGCTGCTAACTCCACTTTAAAAGATTCACCAGTCCTGTGTTAAACATGCCACATACAGCACCAGTGGATTTTCTGAAGTATTTTGGTGTTACTTGATCTATTTCTTCCCTCCTTTGAAAAGAAATGAAACCACCCCCTCCAGTTTATAATCTTATTTTACTGAGCTAGTCTTATCCTGTCTTCAAAGTGTGCACCTCGTGTTGTTTTCAGTTTTGGTTTTGAGGATTGCAATAATACCAACATTTTCTTTTTCTTTTAGCTTTTTAGGGAGTTCCAGCTTCTCACACACATGGACATTTATAAGAAAACAGTTGAGATTTTGGAGATTTATTCAGAAAACATATTATCTTTGTATGTGGTGAGGAATAATCCAATTAACATTATGCTGCAAGAAAATCTGAAGCGGCACACAGAGGAAGACATTCTGAAATGTCAGTACAAATCTTCTATGCTCTGAATATCAGAGTTTTGTTGTAGCTAATTGTTCTTACCTACGTAACTAAACTAGCTCTAGTTTTACTGCAAAAACATTTTAAAATGTCACAGTTGCTTGAAAAATATATAGTGATGGGGAAGCATTAAGAATAAAAGCTAATAAATTACTAGGAAAATTAAGTCAGTCAGGTGTTGAAACTTTTTTTTCCTATTGAATAAAAGATTGCAGGTTTGATAAAGTTAGTAACTGCCTTAAAATAAGAGGAGCAGAATTATGTATTTCTAGATATGTTAGAGAGTGCTTATTATTTTCTAAAAATACATGCAGAAAATGAATTTTCTGGTTTAGAAAGAGAAATAGTCCCATAAAAAGAGACAATTTCCTTTCGAAAGAGAGGTACTGTTTCTATGGTTGAAGTCTTCATCCCAGTGGAATAACGGAAGTAGTTACCGTTACCTGTATCTCAAGTACCTCGTCTCTGCAGAGACGCATTGCAGGAAAAAGTGCACAAACTGGTACCTCTGGAGAGCAGGTACCACAGTCATGCAAAGAGGTCCCGGTATCTCGCTGTGTTTGGCTCGCGAGGGAGCAAGCACCTGCTGCCACTCAATTTCTTTCAGTCTGAAAAGTCTGGGAGTGCGGTTCTGCAGGGACAAAACATTGAAGGAGTTACTACTCATAATCTTTATTCTTCCCAAACTGCAGCTGTAGATGCCTATGCCTGAGCTTAGCTCCGTGAGAAGTGCTCCTTTGACTGTCATTTTCTATCAAACAAACAGGCATAATGCCAGGATGTCAAATCAGGGATGACACAGTATGAACACGTGTGTTTCCTATAGCAGTTTCACTCCTTTTATTACCGGGTTGTTTCTTAAAGAAGTAAGCAGAGTAGGTTAACATGTTGGGTTTTTTTTCCTTTAATCTTAAAAACACGAGTTCTCAACAGCTCATGATAGATTAAAAAGTGTCAACGAGCAGCCTAATCCAGAAAGCCTTCATAGACTTTCTACTCATAACTTTGGCCTTAGAAAGCTATGGGCGTTGTAATTTCCCCTTTTCTTACACAATATGCCCACAAAGATTTTAATTCATACCTTAGTGAAGTCCCAAGGCCTTTACTTTCCTGTTTTTTTCTTACAAGCAACTCGACCTGGCACCTAGATAATAAATGCCTGATAAGATAGGTTCAGTGAAACACACGCCACCAGAAGTCTGACCTGCAAAAAAGATGTTACAGTCATTAATAGCTGAACCAGAGGGGTGGTGGCTACCACATCCCAGGAGGTCCTGCAGCACCAGCTTGTACTGCAGCTTTCAAAGTGGAGTTCTCTGGCAACAGGGCTCCCCAGAGACATCTGATTTACTGGGGAGAGAGGAGTCTGGGAACGGGCGGTGGGGGCAGGAGGATTACTCAGCTCGCGAACTCCACTAGAAGCAACCCAAAGGCCTACTTACTTATTGTGAGAGAAATTTAATCGTAATACTGAGTAGCAGAGCACCATGAATGATTTGAATACTACTGCCCGTTGCCAGCTGAGGCACCTAAACCTTCACTGCTGTACAAACTACTCTTCAAAATGCATTGAACAACAGTTCCACTGCTGAGCTGTTAACTATTTCATAGGCTGCAATCTGCTTTTCCAGGACAATACTGCAGTGCCAGAACATTTTCATGTGTAATTTAGCAGAAATCCTTGCCTTTGACAGATATGAAAATGACTGCTGCATGTTTACTCCTGCCAGAAGTCTTTGGAGACGATTCCAGTCTGTTTGCTGCAGTGAACGAGGAGGTAGGAGACAGAGCACTGACAGTCTTGGTCTGTCTTCCTCCTATGAGCTGCCTGGGCACATCACCTGGCCTTTTGGTGGCTCAGCTTAGTTCCTGGGAAAGGACAACATTAGCCTGCCTTTTGGGTAGAAGGCAAATATTCATAGAAATACTACCTAAATTCAAAGCAGTGTTATTATGCTTACTTACTTCTTTGACCTGTTCACCAAAGCGATGCTTGTGACATCGTTTGAAATACTGTTTTTTTTTTTAATTTAGGTGAAGGTGGTGACACCAGTGTTGGAAGTCAAAAATCCCTTCAATGTGAATTCATGCGAGTTTGCACTGTACGTAGGAAGAGAAGAGCTAGCCCAGCTCGATGACTGCACCATGGCCCTGGCGGCGCTGGTGGCTGCATTTCACGTGTTCGATATCCCGTGCCCAAAGAGAATCCACAGGACGCTCAACTTCCTGGAGTCCCTGGTCTTTGAGGTGAGGAGCCCAGCATCCCTGTCTGCCCAGGTAAAGAGAGGGCTGGAGGTACCCGAGTATCCCAGTATCTGATGGTGTACACAGCACTCCTCTTGGGAGCATTTGACATTTTGTCAAATAAATCCCTTTGTTGTGAAGATAGCTCAGTGCCATTCTTTCTGGTGAGAGTGTATGTGTATTTATAACTCCGTTATGTTTAATAATGCCCCTTTTTTATTGTACTGGCTACCTTCTTAGAAATTTAAAACCTAAGCATTTTCGTTATTTTAAATGGGAATTCTAGAGCACTCTAGAGGCATTAGAGATAATAAAATTTTCTAGATTACTGCAAGTGTCATGTATTATTTTTCCATATGGAGCGTTTAAAAGATTCGGATAGTCTTTTGACTGTCAGAATTTAAAAAAATGCTAATACATTTAATGTTTTGAAGTGGCACAAATTCAAGATTTACTTGTTACCATCATTTCATTATATTATGATCACTAAAAGCCTACTGTAATAATTTTTGTGTTTTAAAATGGTGGGCCTGGTTTATAATTTGCAGGATGATGAGTTTTCACTATTTTCTCCATGCATGAAACATTCTTTTCTTTTTCTTTTTTTGAACATTAATCCTGAATTTGCTAAATAGGGATTCTGAGATGAGCTCTCAAAGTAGCAAGAATGACTTATCTGGGATGCTGCCATGTGCGTTTGCAACCACAGCTTTGGCAACGGGGAGAAAACTCCTCATTTTCTTTCTGAATTTGTTCCCCAGAACAAATCGGCCTTCTCCACATGGTGATCTGCCCACACCGAGCGGAGGCCCTCTCCTCTCCTCTCCTCTCTTCTTCCACAACCTCCTCGCTAACACGCTCCTCTTAACTCCTGCATGTCTGGAAATCCCAGGGATTACTGCCTGACTGCACAACTTCAGACAAGCACCTAGTAATGGACAGTGGCAGCAGCCAGCAAACACGACCCATTACATTAATTAGAAGTTAAAATGGCTTTTTATTAAAACACTGCATTCTACTAAAGAGATCAATCTCCCACCAGTTCTAAAAATGTCCACGTAGGCAAAGCAGCGTTTCTGGTCACTGCGATTCTTTAAACACTTAAACACACAGCCTGGAAGACCACAGAAGTTTTGTTAAAGCCTGGCTGTGCAAAGGTGACTCCAATGCAGAGATCACAGTGGGAGACCCTGCAGTATGAGGGGAGATCGCTGCGTTTAATGGCCAGACTCGCTTTCTAAAGTCTTTGGATTCTTCATGTGGCTCCCATGGAAATCAGGGGACAACCTTTACCTGTGTGACGGCTGGGCTATCATCTCCAGCACAACATACAAAACAATAGCGACTGCCATTTTAAAGATTCAGTAGGTCTCCTGAGTGTTTTTAGTTTCCGAGTGAATTTGTTGCGTGTAGTTTTCATAACAGAGGTGGCTACACCCTGCTACCTCATCACACGGGATACAAAAGTAGGAATTATTCATGTCCTCACTGTTGTAAGTGATAGCTGTATGAATAAAATTTGGGCTCTGCATCATTTAAGTGAGGTTTATTCTACATCTTGTGAATGGTATTAATTCAAATCCATTTCTTGAACCACAGTACTTTGTAAGTACGTATATAAAAATTCAGGGAGCTGCTAACATCCCCAAGTAATCTCTGTCGAGCAGCAAATCTCTTCATTGGTTCTCACTGCAGGCTACAGAGCTGGCACACAAGAGAGAGACAGAGGGTGAGGGAAAACTACATGGAAGGACAGAAGGAAAGTAAACAGAAGAATTCGGCATTTTACTGATCTGCATGGGCAACTTCAGCTGCTGCCAGAGCCTTCGGAGTAAGTGTTTAGGGAGAAGGCAGACAGCAGTAGCCAAGCTGCTCTTTTAAACTCATGGCCATATTGAGCTACAGTGAGGAATTATTCCACACCACCCTCGGGAACAGCTGGGTTCATCTGAGAATCCTGGGCACACACAAATGTAACAGACGGCTCCAGTTCAGGTTTTATTTGTATTGTAGTACAATAAGAGTGCAATTTGAATGTACAAATATTGAACAAAATGTAAAAATATTATTTATGCAATGCTATGGAAAGAAATTAACAGAGCAATGCAACTTACTTCATACTGACCCTGTTTCACCTCGTATTATGGCAGGTACCAGTCACCTACATGATCTGGAAGGAGCACAGAGAGTTCTTGAAATCTTAAGGAACTCTAGCCAAAGAACAGCCTAGCAAAATCTGTGGGAAGATGTAAAATTCTCCCAGCTCTGTGCAACGGAAATGCTCTGTTTGTTCTCAGCTCTAAAGGCTGAGCAACTGCCCACCGCAGTGCTAAGAAGAGGGCTGCCAAGAATCTTGATCCAACTCTTCTCTCTCTTCTTGCAAAACTAACATTCTGGAACAGTCCTCAGGATACAGGTAGCTAGGCTTTCTCCCATTTAAAGTGCATCTGGTTTACATCTTACGTATATATACCAAGTGCAACGACTTTCCCTGACAAATCGTTATAATAATCCTCCAAGAAAGAAGGTTGCCTCACCTAAGTACCTGCTGGTGGCATCTGCAGCCTGCTAATGACCCAGTGAAATGCATGCATTTTACACCTAGGATGTGCCGACGCACCATATGCGTTTAAGTCTCCTTTTCCTCCATGCTTTGTCTTTCCCCCTATGCCTTATTAATTTATAAATCAGACTTTCCAACTAGGCAGTCATGGGTGAAATAATTCTCCCACCATTGGGAAAACAAACCTATGTTGAATATGAAGCCAGAGTAGCAGTCCTAGCTTTAGCACGCTATTTTTCTCCACTGTTGTGGTAACTACACTGGAGACTGGCATGTGCAGACATGAATGAATATATTTTCTTCTTTGCTAATATCCTTACCTCAAAATACACGTCTTTTCCTTCATGTGCTGAAGGACTGTGGCAGGCTCCCATGTAAAAGGCTGGGACTCTATTGTGCACCATAAACAAAAAGTCCTCTATGAAGTCAAACTTTATTTTTCAGTTGCAGCCTTCTCTATACTGATCTTTTGGTAGAATACATTAAAGATGCTGGTGGAAAAACTCACGTAACATTTTTGTAATCGTGCAAAAGTAAAAACATTCAGTTATCAAAAAAGCATTATAATTTCAACCCCAACAAGGTTTGTTTTGTTTTGTTACAAGCAAACAGACAGTTTTATAATCTGTAAAATTATATGCTGTGGCATAAAGTGTCATGTATGTAGCATTAAGTGTTTCATTTTTAAACTATGGCACAAATACATATTAGCCGTAACAGTCTCATCTGGCTACCTGTAGCCTAATTTTTGGCTAATCAGTTTTTATTTTGATAGTATGAAGTAAAGGCTTCTGAAAAGTAAAATGGGTACATGAAGTAGAATTCAAGATTTTGTAGAAAATATTAACGTTTCCTTATATAGTACAGCATAAATAATTAATGAAGGTTTTCTTGATGTCCAGAGAAAGTTAGGGATCCTAACCATCCGTGGAGAATTAGCGCCATTAGTTTGGTAAATAAGACTAGCTGACTCGGCTGTTACACAGTACCTTCTCAAAAGCTCGAACATGTCCCAGAACGATTCAGATGTGTACTGGCTCTAGGAGAATATAAATAGTCCACCAGTGCTGAACGTACGTTTCTTCCTTTCTGAGAGTCCTTACTCAACAGTTCTAGCGAGTCTTTGTGCTTTGAATAAAACATGAGCTCCAGTGGAGAAAGCTGGCTCGTACACATTTTCCATTATCTTCAAAGTTCATTGTGTGAGTTTTTCTCTGCAGCTTTGAACATCAGAATGGAATTAAAGATTTTTAGGGCTGGTCCCAGTTTAATGCTCATTATTTTGACTATGTCTGATTGGGTCATTAGCAGAAATGCTTCTCCATCAATTTGCTTTAAAAGAAAAAACACACAAAGCTATTAATAGGTCTGACAGTGCAGCAGTATAGATGTTTCAGAAAACATGAGAAGAAAATTCCCAGCAATTTCAGACAGTGTAAAGGAATGGCTGAATACTAACACTTTCAAATGCTTTCAGGATAGCTTTGATTTCAACCTTTTAGACAGATCAGCTAGTCCGAAAGAACAGGATGATGATCTTCTTTCTGCTTGAAAACAACTGTCTGGCTAATTTTTAGCAAACTGGTTCTTATTTTCATACTGACAGTATAAAGTAAAAGCTATTGTAAAGTAAAATGGGTAAATGAAGTAGAATTCAACTGTACTGCAGCACAGTAATGCTTTTTAACATCTTAGCGACTCCTTTTATGCAAACCTCCAAAAGACAGCTTCTGGATCTCCCTCCCAACTACAGGCCACCCCTTTCTGTTCATTAAATAGCAAATTAAAACGAATTTGGTCCCAGATGTAGACAGGGGCCAGGCTGTTTACATAAAAAACAGGCCATAAAACTGCCTCCTTGACACAAACGCAACTTTTCAAAACACTGAGTATTTTTTCTGCCAGCTTTGTAGTGTTGCTATTTTAATAAATGTTACAAGTGAATATTCTCCTGTAAGCAAATTGCTCTGTCAGCAGGAGTGCTAAATCCAAACATGAAGAGCCACAAGGCCCTCGCTTCCAAGGGCTTAAATGGGGCCAACAATTCTTGTGTAAACTTCAGGTCACTTAGGTATCCTATAGTAAGTGTTCAGTGTAACACAAGCAGGATAGCTAGGCCTAAAAGCCAACTGTGGTCAAATCAGGAGCACTGCTTAGGCTTAAAGATACTAGTTTGAGATAAAAACAGTGTAATTAAGTTTCTGTAGGACTAGAAGACAAGTTTTCTGAATCAGACACGCTGCAAAGGAAGCCTGCAAGGTACACCCCAGCGCTGTAAGTTGAGGAACACTGCGGTGAGAACAGCATCATGCAGTTACCACAATTACTTTCTACTCATTTCATGCACAAAGCCAGACTAGGTGGGCTCAGAACCAGAAGTGTGCGAACGTGGGGTTGCCCAGCTTTTTGCAGCATCTTAATATAAGCAGGATGAGGGTTCATTTCCACAGCAGAGCTTTGAACCAGCACCTTCTACCTACTGAAAGACCTACTGATGCCAGCCAGTCCATGC